CAACTGCAGCTCAGTTCCTTCTAGTAAATAAAAATCAATTGTAAGACTGAAATAATGTTGATAAAGAAGGTGGGGAGTTTAGGTGCATACAGTCGGTCATTGTGAAGAACCATATTTACTGTAGTAAGTAAATGTTCCCCTTGTTTAAAACATAACATTCCTGCCCTGGGTGAATAGCAAGTACATAGGATATCCACTGTATGATTCTAAATAATCTCAGGAGATGATGTGGTGTCTCAGTTTAATAGTGACAGAAGGTCTGCTATTCCAAGGTGAGACCATCTGACTTATACGTTAAGGCTTTGTGTACAATGCGGTTTTTAGCCTCTGGTGTAGCTGCACCAGGGCAAGCTTTAGTGTAGACACTAGGGTAAACTACCTCAGTGCAGATACTCACTAAATCCATGAAATAAACCATGTAAAGGTATGGATAAAACTCCACCTACTGGATTTATGTACTGATATTAATGGAAATGAGATGAAAAATAGAGTTGATGGTACTGGAATCTTTGCTGGTGAATATGTAGGTCCATGTAAAATTCACAGCCATGGAAAAAACGCATCATGGACCATGAAATCTAGGCTTTTGTGTGCTTTTACCCTATACTATGCAGATTTTTTAGGGGAGACCAGCATTTCTCAAACTGGGGGCCCTGACTCAAAAGGGCATTTCAGGAGGGTTGCAAGGTTATTTTAGGAGGGATCACAACATTGCCACTCTGACTTCTGTACTGTCTTCAGAACTGTTGGCTGGGTGCCCAGTTCCAAAGGCAGTGCCCTGGCAGCCAGCAGCAGTGCAGAAGTAACAATGGCAGTACCAAACTGTGTCGTGTCATCCTTTTGGCAAGTTTGTCTTGGCTAGGTAACTTCCTTGGTTTTGCTTTTTAGAACTGATTAATGAGCATGTTCTCACACTAACGTAAAAAGGCAACTAACACATTTTTCATTTCAAGCTGGTCGAGTTTAGGTTTTAACTCGACCAGCTAGTGTGTGTGCCAAAGTACAGTTTGCTTTGTTTGTGTTAGTGTTGGAATGTGTTAGATGACATTTAAAAAACCAAAACCCTAGATCAAGACGCACTCTAAATGTCTTATTGAATGGTTTAGTTCTTAAGTTAAGATAGTAACAAATCCCTGCTGCTGGGATTAGAGCAATTTGGAGGGGGGTACATACAGGTTAGGGATGTTAATGGTTAAT